CTTCATGGCTTCTATCATGGTCCTGAGCTCATCTATTTTTCTGTCAGTTTTTGCTCTAGAGTCTCAAATCACGACTTCCATTTTTCTCACTATCTCTATGGTTATCTGGGAAATTATTTCTGTTTTGAAGTTTTCTAGAGCCTGATTGATCTGTTTTGTTACTTCCTGTGCTTTGAGTTCAGGGTGTCCTGGTGGTTCACTATTGGCCTTTTCATTTGCCCTACTGTTTGCCATTGGTGAACTGGAAGTCTGTCCTTGTGTCTTGCTTAAGTCTTTTCTCATTTTAATTTTTATTGTTGGACTGTCCTTGGTTTAATCTTTGGATTATCACCCAAATCTTCCTGATATAGTTGCACCCTAGCTTCTGTGTCTCTAACGACCCATGGACATTCTCATCTTCGTAACATCATACAAAACAGCTCATTAAATCAACGCCAATGCTTTACCCCAACTGATACATCAGCAACACATTAAGATCAAGCACAACTTGGACACTGATCACCTGTGGTAGTCACTAGTCTATCACCCTTAAATATTTGCATTAAATTGAAATCAAGAAGCAGTCCAGAACATGTCTGCAGTGAACAAACTTTTCAATATACTATATTAACCATTTAGTGGCTCAGACAGAGCGAGGATGGAAGACCCCTGATCTCAGTTAGCTGATTGCTGAACCCCATGACGCTGACTGACCTCGGGCTGCAAGGCCCAGATTGATTGCAAGGCCCATCCTTCTGAATGGTTGAACTCCGCAACGTTCTATTACAGGTTTCCCCTGCCCTTTCTTTAAAGATGTTCAAAGTTGGGAACTCAGAAAAATAACCTTGATGTTCACCTCTGTCTTTGCAGAGTGGGTCCAAAGACTTGCACAGTCAGGAGGTCTGAGAGTGTGGGGGGGGCGCTTATGGGGGTTCAGGGGCGCCCGCACGGCTACCTTCCCAGCACTTGAGCGATTGCTGCTGGGTCGGTAGCAGCCGTGGTTCTCCTTCCCGCGGTGGATCGGCCAGGCCTACCTCCTGGTGCTTGAGCAATGGCTGCTAGGTCGGGAGCAGGCGTGGTTCTCCCAGTGTGCTGTGATTCTGATGGGCTTTCCTTTGCATGTGATTTGCTTCTTTTCTCTTACTGCTTGTAGTATTTTGTTCTTCTGTTGGGTTACTGGGATCTTGATTATTATATGTCTAGGTGTAGGTTGTTTTTAATCATGGTAGTTGGTGTCCTATATGCCTCGCTTATCTGTACGTCTAATTATGCCCCTCTGTTTGAGAAGTTTTCTGTCATTAATTCTTTGAACAGCTTTTTTAAGTCATTTGCATTTTCTCCTTGTACTTCATGGATTCCTATCAGTCTTACATTATTCTTCTTTGCATCATCTAGGAGTTGTTGGATTGATTTCTCATGCTCCCTTACTGTTTTTAAGAGACCTCTCTTCATGGTCACTGTCTGCGATCCTATCTTCTATATCTGAAATTCTATCTTCACAATCTTTTATTCTGTTGTGTCCTCTTTCAGTAGAGTTTTTAATCTCCTGGATATCCATTTGAATCTGTTTAATGGATTCCATTTCTTTTCTATGTTGGGTGTTCATTGTTTCCATTTCTTTCTTATTCTGGGCCTTCATGGTTTCTGTTATGTTCCTAAGCTCATCTATTTTTTTGTCAGTTTCTGTTCTGGAGTCTCAGATCATGTCTTTCATTTTGCTCACCATCTCTGTGGTTAACTGGGAAATAATTCCTATTTTGAATTTTTCTAGAGCTTGATTCATCAGTTTTTTTACTTCGTGTCCTGTGAGTTCTGAGTGTTCTGGAGGTTCACTCTGAATTTTCATCCTCCTTTGCTCTACTCTTTTGCTATTGGTAGACTGGAAGTCTGTCTTTATGGCTTGCTTAAGTGTTTTCTCATCTTTATTGTTGCTGTTGGGTTTTCCTTGATTTAGTCTCTGGGTCACTAAATCTTCCTGATATCAGTGTGTCCCAGCCTTTGATTCTTTAATGACTTATAGACATTCTCATTTTCATAATTGAGGAAACATCTCATCAAATCAATCCCTATCCTTTATCCCAATCGATACAATCAGGAACACAATAGGATCAATCACCAGCCTTTATAGCCCACCATGCCTCTGCAGAGTGCATCCAAGGACTGGCTCAATCAGAGCATCTAAGAGCCGGGCGGGGGTGGGCGACAGTGCTTCATGGCACCTGCACGGCTACCAGCCTGGCACTGGGGTGGAGCCAGTCAGTGGCGCCCACTGGAAAAGGTGTGGCTCCAGAGGAGGCCCATAGATTGGGCCAGGCCACGCAGCAGAGGGGGCTCTCGATGTACATTATTTTCTAAATGTTATTTTATTATCATATTCTCTTTCCCCTACCCTTCCCACTTTCCCTACACCTTTAGCCCTTTTCTTCCTATTTCACATTGTCAGTTATCTCATTCGGATCTTATGTACTATTATACTTTTTCACACCAGAGAAACTATTCAGTATTTACACATGTGTGTATTTTCTAAATTTTAAATAAACTCAAAACTTTAGGATATTTACCAGAATCAAGGTGATTATTCAGCATTTAACTTCCCACTTTCCCTACACCTTTAGCCCTTTTCTTCCTATTTCACATTGTCAGTTATCTCATTCGGATCTTATGTACTATTATACTTTTTCACACCAGAGAAACTATTCAGTATTTACACATGTGTGTATTTTCTAAATTTTAAATAAACTCAAAACTTTAGGATATTTACCAGAATCAAGGTGATTATTCAGCATTTAACTCATGATTATAGAGCACAAGAATCTTGTAAGGTAAAACCTGCCTTATACTTTCAGAAAGACTATACAATTTAGAGATACAAAATTTAGGCTTGTGATTCAGCTTGGAAGCAGCATCAATGTATAAAGGTAACATAATTCTTCTCTGTTTGACTTCTCCACTCTATCACTATTTTTCTTACTTTATGCTCTAGTAATTAAAATTTTAAATTATAAAGCTCAATTTTTGTACAAGGAAAATACAAAACCTTTTGATTTTCCAAATATGATACTCTCATCTTGTGAAGATCTGTGCCTTTGCAGATTCTCATTCTTCTGATATTTTTGTACTGGGGATCGAACTCAGGTCCTTGTGCTTAAGAGGCAGGCAGCAGAACCACTGAGATAAATCCCCAGCCTGATATTCTCATTCTTTTTGGCTTAAAATTCTTTGAACTTTCACTTTGACAACACGATATGCCACTTACTAAGTTCTCAGAGGATGCTGATGGTCTGTAGATCATATTTTCAGTAACAAGCATCTTTGCTTCCTGGCAGACTTATCATCCTGAATATTTCCTCATTTTCTCCTCTTAATTCCTATGAGTTCATCTAATTGTTCTTTCCTAGTAATGTCATTACACAATATATAACTTTACTATACTTTTTATTATAATTATTTATAGATTGTCTTTACTTATTGAAAATTTTTATACACAGAGACTGTCTTTCATCCTTGTATACCAAAAGCCTACCAAACTGTTTATCAGAAAATAAGGTTTTAACAGATGTTGTCAGATGGTTTTATTACAGCCTGTTTACAGTTACATTATCAAATTATATACCAAAAATTAAGAGTGGCCTTTTCATTTTGATTATAGTAAAAAGAAAGAGAATTATGAGTCTGAATTTTCCCCCTTACTCTTTTTTAGAAGGATAAAAATCTCAAATGCATTCTGTCCAAAGATGGGCTTTGAATTAATTTTCCAACATTTTGAAGTCTCTAAGATAACAATAGTATTTCTCAAGATAACTTTGTTTGTAAAAGTAAGGTTTTAAGAAAAATAATGATTATTTTTTTTCTACCCAAGGAGAAGTACAAATGTCTACCACAAGACGAAAACGTAATATGTTATGTTGTTTACCGTAAGCTGTAGTAAGATGAGCTCGATTGTTGACAGGTATGTTTATAGAGACTTTTAAAAATATTTGAATTATTTAAAATATTTGGAAATTCGCTAATAGAATAATGGTCCATATCAGATAGTAGACATAATTACTATTTTCAATTTCTGTACTGAACAGCCATGGTATAATAGGAAGTATGTCAGTATTTTCAAGAGCCAAAGTTAATAGTATGTTGTATTTTAAGAGGATAATGAGTCACAGTTTTTAGTCATTTGATCAAAAGCTGTTTGGCATGAAATGGTAACAATTACAGATGTTTCCTTGTCACCTTATAGTTTCTTGGTGTTAACTCCATCCCTTCAGGTGTCTTAGCATTTGTGCCTGATAAGATGCAACTAAAATTAGGATCACTAGTTGAATTGTAATGTTTGAACCTCTCTCTTATGAAAAGGATAAACTTGATTTCTTAGATTCTAAGACTTCTTTTTTAAAATTTTAACATCTCTGATATTTGATGAGCCTAAACAATTGATTTGTAATTCAACTGGTAGCATTGATTTTCCTTTCTTAGGAGCACAAAAATAATGAGTCTTTATCTTAAGTGTGATAAAATATAGTGATTATTTTTAAAGCTACTCTTGACTGAAGTACAAAATATTTTTGTATTTCTAATCTCAATCCATAAGATTTTACAGGGAGGTTAATGTTTAAGTTCACATAGCTGGTAAGTGATGTGCTGGAATTTTAACTTGTGTTGGTTTGTCACTAAAGTTACAGTGCCTTTATTATACTGTACTGTGTGACTTGTCCATGGGGAAAAAATTTAAGAATTTGGGGGGTAGAGTTGCATGCAGAAGTAACTATTGACGTCTGAAGGCAGCTCCCCTTCTTTCTGTGAGCTATGTAGTGAAGATCTGTAGTCTACCAGAGTGGCTATGAATGTATGGCACATGTGCTGCAGTGGGCTGTTTGTATCACTGAAAGCTCTAAAGGTTCGCCATCCTTGCTCTGCCAGAATGTAAGACCTGAAGACAAGGAATGTCCTTAGATAGGCCTGCTTCATCATGACCATAGGTTTGGACTATGCCTAGTTAGAGATGGAATCTATTGGAAATCTTTTCCTCAGAAAGATATTTCTTTACTGCTTTAGAGGGGTTAAACATGATTTTGGTGTTACTCTTCTAAATGATTACAGACAGTATGACATCTGAGGATGACGTGAGTGTTAGAACATAAAGCAGTGATTATTAATATGGATTGCTTTTGTCTCTGAATAGTATCAAGTTATGGGCTTTCTCCTCAGAAAAGATGCATATGCACACAAAATTTTTCATAAATTTCTAGGCATAAGTGGAATGCCAAAAATCTAGTCAAATAGCTCCAGGAAACAAGCTTTGTGGTTTATGAGTCTGGGCACTTGATGTGCTGTTGACCTGTAAAAGCCACAGAAAGATGTGGCTTCACCAGTGAATGGTGAGTACATGAAACCACTGGAAATGGTTTAATATTACTGTGCCTTACCTTAAGGAGTTAACTGCCCAGCGCTCTTGATATAATTTATTAGAATGTTCTCACCCCACATCATCCCATTGCTGACCTTACAGTGTCATGTAGATCTCTCCTCAATGTCTCTACTTCAACAAGTCCTTTCCTAATTATTCAGACTAACCACTCAGTAAGTAAAATTGATACCTTAAAAAAAAAGCTTGTTGTCAAACATTTTCAGGTTTGTTCCCATCCACTAGAAAAAATAAGCCGTAAGAGAGCAGCTGTACTTCTTTTTTTAAAATTGAGTTTATTGGTACATTTTAGGTATACAGTACAGTTACATTCATCATTGGGATCTTGTACCTTTACATGACAGGTCTTGGTTCTCACTTTTTTCTCCTTGTCCCTGCCCTCCCTTCATATACTTCTTAATTACTAGTCTCTAACCAAATCCAAAGCAGAAGAATTGGGCCAGGGATTTAACTCAGTGGTTCCGCAGCCTGCCTCGTAAACGCAAGGACCCGAGTTCGATCCCCTATACCACGCGCGCACACACACACACACACACACACACACACACACACACACACAAAAGGCGAAGAATCATGCACCTGAATGCTAATAAATATTTGTCAAATGGATCAGAAAATGAATAAAAATTTATAAGCTAATGTGCTAAATTGTAATGTTAATGAGTAATTTGTAATTTTACAAATGTATCAAAAAATTTAAATTATGGTGTTATAATTATTAAAAATAATTCCAAGTGAACAATTTTATACAATGGCAAATCATTGACTTTCTGTAGGTTTTCCCTGGTTATTA